ACTTTATTCATTTATTATTTAAAAAAAATGGCCCCCAAATTATTGTACATGCCCCCATTTTTAGACAGTGGGGGCTAAAGTTGTCCCTCAGATATTTTTTACATTTTCTACACTGGCTATAGGGATATTTTTGTTTTCGATTCTCAAGTTTTTCTTATGTAACTTTTCACCTGACTAGATCCGGCAGACCCAAAAACATGCTTATTAAATGTATGTATGATCCAGTCCCCAGACCTGGACGGCGCCCCTCTGGAGGATGTGGACGGTGTTCCCCTGGCCGGCCCCCCCTGGGACCCAGCCTCCATAGACGGGGTGCCCGTAGATGACATCGACGGTGTCCCCCTGGGTGACACTATGGATGACATCGATGGAATGCCATGTATGTGACCCCAATCCCCTCCCGATGTTACCTGATGCCGCACAAAGCTGATTTGTATTACTTTTCCTTTATGTTCAGCTTGTTAGTTGACTCTAATGCAGAGCAATGTGCTGTTTTATTCATTTATAGCTGGTCCAAGTTAGGCGCTTATTAAAGTCTTATGGCGCTTTTCCACTGCCAGCATGAGCCGAGCCGTACCCGATCCATACCGGTGCTGACACAACCCTGCTTAATAACGTGACCAAACCGACTTGGTCCACCATCTGATCGAAATGCAGAGATTCCATGCAGTGATCTATGTCGATGTGCGTGGATCATCTGGAGGAAGAACTGCAGATTCTATATATTATTAATTATTAGTGTCGGACATCGCGATGTATTAATGCATTCCAAATAACTCAGAACTTGGAAAATTCCAACCTCCTACTTGAAAAAGTACTATAGAACAGATGAACAGAATGGACAGGCAATGCAGATTTACACAAGCAAATGCTAATTCCGCTAGGGTTTGATGCTTGCATACTGTAACACGGCGATTCTCAGAGATATGCTAGCGGAAAATAATTAATAATAACTGCACATAGTAAATCGTCATGTACACCATGTGAACGGTAAATAAGTGTCTCTTCGGGTGTACGTTGCTATCGCTCTCCAAACCTGGCAACACCTTTACCGTGCTGACCCTTCTGCAGTGGAAAACCGACATGAACTGGAGCTGCGCTGTAACTAGTCTCTCTTCATGGTACGGCTTGGGTGCGACTCGGTTCCTGTGTGCAAGTGGGAAAGCGCCATTACAGTAGCACCCATGTAAGGGTCCTCCAAAACCTTCAGCTTACAGGACCGTACCTACCCATGGTTACAATGTAACCTGACGCCAGTTTACTGTGAATTCTCTCTCTCTCTCATCCTAGTGGAGGAGGCTTCTGATAAAGAGAAAAGTGTCCAGCACCCCAGAGTCGCTCTGTCCAAGTGGGAGAGGGTGGATGACGCTGAGGTCCTGCCACAAGGTAGCATGGCCACCAACTCTACAAGACACTTTGCTGCTTCTATGATATAAACAGCTTTCCTACACTGTTCTGTGTTTCACATAATTTCTACTCCATGATGTTAGCAAACACTGAATCAAAATGGGACTTGCTTGAAGACCAGGACTCTGAAGACAATATGAATGTAAGGTAAGGAATTGAATGAATTTCTTAATGAATTTCTCTCGGCACTCTGAGCGGATGCACCGCTTTGAAACGCTTTTGGTCATTCCAGTAGTGCCGACACCAAGGACGTCGACAGGGACTCTACAGATGACAGCAGCGACGAAGACTCCTGCAGCCCCTCGAAGTTTGAAGGTGCCGATTTTAAAAGCTCCGTGACCAACTTCGAATTGTCCGAGAGCAAGAGGACCAAGCTGCGGGAGCTGGAGGTAAGTTCCATAACTCCAGCCCCATAATTGGGTGGGCCAGTTGTGGCCTCCTAAACTACGGTCTTTCCATGCGGCTGATTGTCATGAATGTCCAGTCTTCTGTCTGGGTCTTCAGGCTTACCAATGGCTCTAAAAGCTTTAACCAGCTGTGTTTTGGTACTTGATTGTTGGCATGATTATTTTGCAGCGCTGTTGTAGGTCACCACTCAAAAAGCTTTTGATATGTTACAAATTATAAGCTTTTTATTGGACTGAAAGAAATGCCACATGTAATCAGATACTGGTACTCAAATGGAAATCTATGTTGCATATGAAGAACTATCCAGTAGACTAATGATATTCAGAATCTAGAATGATAAAACATAATGGCATGTAGAATTGCCTTTAGACCAATCCCGAGGAAGGGCATAAAAAGAAGAAAAAACGCATCAGCCAATGGGGGGGATTTGGAACAGGGGAGCCCATGCTGGCATATTTTTAAACTCCTCCCCCCAATCAGGTGAAGGTAATGAAGTTCCAGGATGAGCTGGAGTCTGGAAAAAGGCCGAAGAAATCAGGAAAGACTGTACAGCAACAGGTGGAGCACTACAGAAATAAGCTGCTACAGAAGGTGTGTGTGTGTCTTACCAGTGATCTTATTCCTGTGTTTTCCAACCTGGTCCTTGGGGACACACTGATGGTCCACATTTTTGCTCCCTGCCAGTGTACACATTTTTGCTCCCTCCCAAGTACTGGTAGGGAGCTGGCAAGGAGCAAAAACGTGGACTGTCTGCAGGTCCCCGAGGACCGGATTGGGGGAAACTGCTTTATTCTTAACCATGAGTATCTTTGGGTTCACGCCAGGTGCCTCAATCCCCTCACTAGAATGAAAGCTTTTCATTCCTCTTTGCTTACACACAGGAGTTTGAAAAGGACGACCTGGAAAAGAGGGAGAAGTCGGCACAGAAGTTGAAAGACCGAGCCAAGAAGGACGAGAAGCGAGACAAGGCAGATGACCGGAGCAAGAGCAAGGACAAGGACAGGAAGAAGAGCAAGGAACTGAGTCAGGACCGAGATCGGAACAGAGGGCGGAGCAAAGGAGAAGAGGAGGAGAAGAACAGGACGGACCGCTACAAGGCAGGGTCCCCCTCAACGTAAGAACCTGCCGCTACCGATTCTGTTACGAGAACCCATCGCTCAAGCTTTGTGACTTAATGTCAAATTTTCTCTCTCCTTTTATTCCTTCACCTTCAAAAGAACAAAATCAAAGTCTCCGAAGAAGTCCAAGCGCTCGCGATCTCCATCCCCGAGCCGACGGTCATGGAGGTCGAGCTCGAGGTCCCCACACCGTTCTCACAAAAAGGCAAAGAAGAGTAAACACTGACCATCCCACCTCATCCCCCTCGCCTCCCCTCCGTCTGCACACAGCAGCCAGCCAGCCAGCCAGCACCCACGGACTGCTGCTTCTCCACCGGCCTGTGGCCAGGGTCTCTTGCTTCCATCCCACAATGCCCTTGCAGGGAGACTCCAGACAGCTGTTTCCCTCCCACATCCCTAATGCTACATCAGATTGAGCCAAGGTTTGGTACATTTTTGTTAATGAAGTTTGACATTTTTTGTACAGTTTTTGCTTTTTTTTTCTCAACTGTTGCAAGAATGTTCCTAAAACTTTACAATAAACAACTTTAGTCCTGATCTCACCTACCTGAATATTACATCTCTTGTATATATGTTATGTGACAACTTATTGTAATATAAAACATTCTATACACAAAATACAGCCAGTTAGACATGCGGGTCTTGCTTTGTCTGCCTGCATTACAAAGTAAACCAGTAATATGCTTAATTTACTTTTCCAGCAACTGTTGCTGGGTTCTGTTAAGATGGTTCTGTTCTTCTCTAGTGTGCAGGTTAGTGTGCTATGAAGAACCACCCGAAAGTCAGTGCTGATGTATTACTGTTAAATTCATGCGTGTATAATGCAGAGATCAGGGGGTGCTGGTATGATTGTGTGCACATTTTTACATTATGCCTCAGAACGCAGTTCCTGCAAGTTAGACGCAGGTCACGTGTGAAGGTGAGCTGAAATCCCTGTAGTTTGTCTGAGCTTTAAATGATGTAAATATCTTGCTGATTTGTGCAATGGGGGGGTGGGGGAGTGGACTTGTTACTCTTTTTAAAGGTTGTTTTAGAACTTTGTGGGGGGTGAGGATTATTACTTTGTAGTAAATGAATACAGACCCTCCGCCTTTGAGACCTACCATATGAAACTTGACACCCTCAGATCACTGGTCTTTTTGTCATTAACTTCACAGAGGTGACTAGCAGTTGGTAGAAGAGGCAGTAATGCATGTCTTGCGGTCTTTTTAGTCTTCTGTATTTTCAGTTTTTTTGCCCACAACAGCCTTGTACAAACATCAGAACATGTTTACTCATGACGATGAAGGTGGTGAAATTGCAGCAACCTCATGATTGAACTGGCATCATTTAGTTTGCCGCTACTGGGACTGAAATCCTACAGTGTTTTTGGGGATTTTTATGTGCTAGTTCAATAACTGCCTTGTCACCTGTCCAAGCAGCACAGCAAAGAGCGTTTTGGGGAGGTGTTTTATTGTATTTTTTAAACATTTCCTCTAAAGGAAACAGAGTAAACCATCAATAACACATCTTAGGTGCCGTTCCCTACGATTGTTACTTCATTGGTTTTTGTATTTTTTTTTTTTTTTTTTACTGGAAGGTATTTACATTTCACTTAGTTTTATCAAAGCTCAAAATAAATGACAAAACAATTACTGAATGGTAATACTAAAAACAATTATCCTTTGTAAAAAAAAAAAAAAAAAAAAAAAAAAGCCCCGCCCCCGTTCTCAAAAGACCATCTGCAAATGCATACGCAGCACATCTGAGCTGGTACTAGTATGACGTGGGACACAATGGGACAGCAGAAGGCAGACAAGGATGGGTACACTAACCCCACACTGCTCTGATGGCACATCTTTAAGGACTAAGACCTTTATATTTGCACCCCACATCTGTTAGAAGCAGTCATTAAGAGGACTAATATGGCTCTTATGCTTTGTGTTAATTTCCGCCTCCTTCATCCTCCACCCCCAAAATCAGACAAAGAAATTACATATTAGCAACCTATGTATGACAGCACTGACTAGGGAACTATACACTCCCAAAATCCACCACAGGGACCAACCGACTTTTTTTTTTTTTTTGGGGGGGGGGGGGTAAATGTGCTTAATACTTCTTCACATTAACAAAAACCTTGATGGCACCAGTGAAATCGGCTGAAAGGAGAACTTCACTATGGTCCGTCTTCAGAGCTCCTGTGGACAGAAGAAGAGCAGCGTGTTCAGCTGAATAAGCGATACCATCCAACCGTGTTTCAATGATATCAAATGCAGATAAGCCGCCTTGCTTAAGGTCACACCGACAGGGTGTTTAAGAACAAGTGCTGTTCCTTAGCTGCCACGCTTCATGCAACCATGCACTGCTGGCCCCCCAATTGCACTAATTCTAAGTCCAACCTGAAGGGATGGCTTCTGTGTCCATAGGATCACCACTCCTGTCCTCAGTGTCTGGCTTATCAGCAGCTCCAGCTTCCGGAGACACGATGAGGCTGGGATTGGGGGCGAAGATGGCCGACGTGACAACGGCATTGTGGGCTGTGGGGGATAAAATGGGCCCAAACCTCAGCAGAAGACCAGAAATCTTCAACCATTAGTCTGTTCTTTACATTTTAACCAGTACGTCATGTAAAGCCAGTATTGCAGATTTCCATCGATGACAATGAGATCGACTGGCCATCACTCAGGAGACACGTTTGTATATTTTCATCAGTGTTAATTCAGTCTTCATAACTTTCAGCACAGTCATAGTCCCATAGTGACAGTGAAAGCCTTTAGCAAGATGACACAGTTGGTTTAAACCTGCTACATCTCTCCCTGCTGAATTGTCTGGATAAAAATGTGTGCTAAGAATAAACAAATGAACACATAAGAGTGTATCTTCCAGCACCACAGCCGACAGGAAAACAAACAAGATGCGTTCACACTTCATTTATGTGAAGCCAAAGAAGTTCTTTCCTTACCCTTAATCCCTTCCCAGAAGTCATTGCGGTCTCGTCGGACAGAGGTGAATTTACTCAGGTCGTGGTACGTGCTCCAGATGTAGATGTACTTGTCCTCTGAACCACTTACGATGAATGAATAATCGTGACTAAAAGAAGGGGGGGGGGGGGATATAGTTGAAAAAGTAATTTCTAAATATTTATAAAATGTGTTATTTAGTAAATATATAAGCAAGTGCAGAAAGGAACTGCCCTACCTGAAACTAGCCTTGATCTGACTGCTGTGGTTCATGTATCCTTTGTACTTCATCGACAGGGAAAGGTCTCTCAGGTCATACAACCGAATCCGAGAGTCATTGGAGGTCACCAAGATCTACAGGGGGGGGGAAAAAAAAAAAAATCAAGAAAATTTGCTGTGACCCAGGAAATAGTAAAATGTGAAAAGGAACCCAAAAGCATCGGAACCATCCTGCTGGACGTCTATGTAGCAGAACCTTCAATGGTTCAATAAAAAGATGGCAGGTTTGGCCAACAAATCTTTAACAGTGCTGGGTTTATAGACCACTTGTGTATGTGGTTAAAAGAGCCTGAAATTCAGTAGGGTCTCATTTAGCACTTTACACACATCTGTGGATTCTTGTTTTCCCATTGACCTAAGATTACTGTAAGCAGCTCCAAAGTGCATTAAGCATTGTTCAAGTGCTTGTATTTGTTCTGGGGTCAGTGAGATGGATGGTGCAGGAAGCAATGGAGAGCAATCAGCTTGAAGTCCACTAAGAGCCATCAATTTCTCTTTGTTCCATTTAAGATTAAGGCCTTTTTGAAGCCGTTACTCTGGGCAGCTGCACACTTTTTTATGGGGGGGGGGGGGGACTATGTTTGTTGAGGTAATACCTTATTCTCCCCAGGCAGAGGCTCAATGCCAGTGATCTTGCGGCCCACGCGATTCCTTCCCCGTGTGGATCGCACATGGATCTGGGTGTGGTACTTTAGATGCTATGGAGAGAGATTTTTTTTCCATCATAATTCATCTTTATATTCATTTTGTTCCATCGTGACATTTTCAAACATTGTTATCAAAGTGCCTAATTGTATTGCATTGCAATTCTAACCTTTAACACATCAAGATTGATATGTATTATTGATGCTAATGGAATTACCAACGCCATTAACAGAATGTACTGAAGAGACCTTGAAAGACATTTTCGTAATACACGAGACTGAACAGAGCAGTAGAAACAATATTAAATTTGAACGTACAGGTGGTGAACCAACAGAGAACATCTCCATTCTTTAATAAATTGCTCCCGTTTAAGGTGCAATCTCCAGCTCCATCACCAATTGGGAAAGATCTACTAATCGAAAAGGTCTGGCTTCCTTTATTCCCAGCTAGAGTAGTGTTGCTCTGGAAGCATGAGGAACAATAGTCCAGTTCCCTCCTTAGAGAAGCACCCTCCATCCATATGGTTTCCAGGAGATCATATCAAATGGACGTGACCCAATAAAACAATAAGAACGACTCTGCTGCAGACTCCCATAGAATTACATTCCAAAGTCATTCTCTACAGCCAATGATCAGTCTAGCAAGAGGTGCTCGAAACAGACTGCAGAGTTCATAAGCGGAAGTCAGACTACCTCAGTGTCATAGAAGATGCAGCGTCCATCGTAGGTACCAATGACGGCGTACTTCCCGTTCTGGCAGAAGTTGGCGGCGGTGATGAGGCGTGTCTGCCCATCCACCTCGTTCCACAGTGCAACTTTCTTGTCTGGGATATTCCAGAGCCGCAGCTTGCCATCCAAGGAACCACTCAGGAAGTAACGGTCGTCCTGCCGTGGCGGGAAGGGGAGTGAGAGGAGGGGATTAAAACGGTAGCAGAACCGGCAGGTGAAACCACATCAAACTCTCCACGTTTGACGCTGATGATTAACTTCTGCCATTAGAGTGCTGCGGAGCAAAGGCAATGAAAGACCCAGAGCTGGAAACCAAGCATTTGACATCCTTCTGTGACTGTAGGCAACTCAAGACATCCCCCACGGAGACGGTAGACCGCCTTCCTTAAGTCTCTGCCACCAGCTGTTCTAGGATACAGTAACAAACTCACTCTAGGGTGGAAGGCGATTGCTGTCACAAAGTCAATGTGCTGGAAGCAGCAGAGACACTCTCTCCTTGATATGTGCCACAGCCTGACTGTCTTGTCCATTGAGGAGGATAACAGGAAGTAGTTCTGCAGACAAGTGATTAGAAATGGGAACCGTTAGCAAACTACATGAAATGTGGACTATTCCAAACAGATAAATGGCCTTTAGCAGGTCAATGTCCACTTACCTTCGACCAGGACAGGTCCAGGAGATCGGCTGTGTGACCCTTGTACTTGCAGAAGGGAACTTGGCGAAAAGGGACGTTTCTGTCCTCTGTGTCTGGATCCTCATGGGTACTGGGGAACTGGAGATAGTGTTGTCAAGGTCAGGGATACGGGACATGTAACCCCAAGGTTGCAGGTTTGACTACCTGGAAGAAGCTTACTTTATTAGCAATGTTTAATCCGAATGAATCTACATAAACAGCAAAGCAAAGTGTAATATTTCTAGCTCTAGAATGTAAAACCAAAAAATAATCGGTGTACTCTATGCAACATACCCCACCATCGGTGTCAGATTTCGAGGAGTTCAAGCTCTCCTGGGAGGGAGACGGAGAAACACGGCCTGTATGGGCGGAATTCGGGAAGTGAGTCTGGACATCCCAACTGAATACAACCAAGACCCAACCTAAACACGTGCAGAGTGTGAGATACTGAGGCCCTTAGTGCCCTTACCTTCCGTGTTGTACTTGATCCTCATGTTGTTGAAGTAGTCAAAGGCGTTTTTCAGAACCCAGATGCGGACCATGTTGTCTTGGCCAGCGGTGGCTAGCAGTCGGCCACAATGAGAGAACTTCATCGTCCACACAGCGCCCTGGGGAAGGGAGGGTGCACCATGAGTCAAGACACGGAATTTTCCAGAATCTTAAACAGGGAAGTATTATATATATACTCGTACATAGTGAACAAGTTTATGTGGATTTATCTCCAAGGCAGATGGGGAAAGAGCCAAGGATACGGATACGGAGACGCCGTACAATGTTAGGAAAAAACTGTCAAGCTTTAGATCATTTTTATCCATGAATTTATGTTCTTTGATTGTCATTCCAAGGTTGGAAAGATCCATGGTGTCTCCCAGACAAAGTGACATAAGGCAGGGCAGGAATGCCAGGTCTTCTGCGGACATTCATGCAAACACACAGCTGACATAGTGTCCTCTGTTCTCTCCATCCCCATGGCCACAAGCAATGTGCATAGAAGTATGCAGTCTGGGAGCAAATCAGCATGGCGTGCTTAACAAAACTCTGATAGCGATTATCACAAAATCGCTGACAGCGATTATCACAAAAAAATGACAACTGGAGATCAACTAAACTAGCTTAATAATAGAGCACAAACAGTTTATACACATACATGCAACAGAAACCTGTACATAAAATAGAAAAAAAAAATACTGTACACATACACAGGTACTTATACACACTCACATGGACAGAGACAGACAGACAGACACCCACAAATAACCACACACACATACATACACACTTACCATGTGTTCCCCACTCAGGTCCTGAACCATCTTTATCTGATCAAAGTCAAAAGGTCCTTTGAAGCTGTGGGCAGCCTTGAACTTGACCGGCCGGTTATATGGCATTCCCTCGTCATCACTGGAGGACGGGTCATCCTGGTCCGTGTGGAACACTGAAACACCAGGCACATCGGTCACAACTGTTACGCAGACTAAATAAAAGCAAATAAATAAACAAAAACAGCTGTCACGAGGAATGGCCGCTTGCCTAGTGGCTTCTCCCAGCCTTACCTTCATCACGAACGCTCTTCACCTTGTTGACAGCCTTCTCCCCATACTCCTCTGCTAGGTGTTTGGCCCTCTTCACGGACTTGCCCAAAAACTTCTTCAGCTGTGTGCTGGAAAGAAAACTTTCGCTTCAGATAGACAATTTTTTAAAAAAATGACCACACACACTAATATTAAACCCTGATGTGATTCTTGCAAACATGCTCAAAGTGATAAAATACAGGCTGATGTAAATTTCTATTAAATTTGTCCCCATCGACCCTTTTTCTGTTTAGCTTATTAAGGTGACAACTAAACAAAAAAATAATAATGTCCCTATATATTTTTCCATATATCTGTTCAACATTCCTACACTGACTCCACAATTATTTTGCATGAAGCCATTACTACTTTAATATGGTTATAAACAGGTAGCGTCCTGACAATCATCTCAGTTAAACTCAAGAGTGCATCCAAAAATCACACACTTACACAGTATGTACTGAATTTCATTAAAAGCCTTAGTTCTCAACCATTAATGTAGTACATACTATATTCATATGAAAACAGCATCAATTTCAAACATTCAACAGCACAATTACAAGACAAATCATACAATTTTGAGCAACACAAGGTCAGAAGAAAAAATGTAAATACCATCTGGTTAAAAAAAACTGACTTATTTCTGACAAAAGAAAAAGATGAAGAGTCACAGCTGAGGACCTGTGAAGTTACAGCACAAACGCCAGGCAGAGGTTGCTGCTGCAGTATGGGTGTGGTGTTTACTCTTACGTCCTCTGTTTGAGCTTCCCTCCGTCGGTGTCGCTCAGCTGGCTGTGGGATTTGTCTTCGTCATCAGACTGCGCCGAGTCATTCCTGAAAGACAGAACAGGCTGGCCGAACCCCGCTGGCAAAATGTGTCATCCAACAGCAAACTTGGTGAAGCAATACATCAGAACACAGAGCTGTCAGAACGAAATGTGCAACATTAATCTACTTTCTGTACTGGGTTACACCAGGCAACAAGTGCACTGTAATCCCAGAAAATACAATCCCTAGACAGCTTGTCAAGTTGTACTACTGAGAAACCAGTGTTAATGACTGACATGTTCTCATGGAGAACAGCTCATCTATAAACTAAATCCAGTAAATATATATTCTGTGCTAATGTTCTAAAGACAGTTCCTTCCATGCCTCTACATGAATTGAAACAATGGTCACTCTTAAAATACCAACTAAATGGAAGCAGGGAGGGAACAGCAACCGACAAGAACATAGCTGGCTGAAGACCACTGATCTAACTTATTATTTAGCTACAGATATTCAGGCTGCATCTTTTTTTTTTTTAAACCCACTCCAAATAAAACCTTGACAAAACTACACCGTTACGGGGCAACTTAATGTATACATGACAACTAGAGATAAAGAAATTTCATCCTCAAGAAGCAGTGATGGAGATGCAAGATATTCACAACGGATTCAAATATCTGTCTGGAGATGCAGGAGAGTCCTCCTTACGTGACGTATTCTTTGGTCCTCCTCATGATGTGCAGTGTCAGCGGGTTAATTCCAGTGGGCAGCTTCTCCTCGGCCAGGCTGAGTGGGATCTCCTCCCCCGTGTCCAGGTTCTTGATCATCACGCTGGCTAGGATCTCCTATCAGAGACGGCATGTGAAGAACCAATGAGCAAGAGCAGACGGCATCTTAAAAACCGCTCACTTTCAGTTCCTTAGGTCCTTCTGTCCAAAGCGACTTAGATAATCTCTTTTTCCACAGTGTAATATGTCACCAGGAGTGATTAGCCCCTCTTGACTCTTGATCTTGCAACCATCCATTCAAGAGTCCTTTCCATTAGCATAGCGGCTAGCCATGCTACATTCTGCCCTCATGAGAGGTCTGGCCAGCTAAGACGCTCTAATCTGGGCTTTTCCATTCACACCACAGCTGGCCTGCAATATTACACTGCAAACACACCTCACACTGCAGCCAGAATCCTGCCGAACAAGATAGTGGGCATGAGCCTGAATAATGCTGAATAATCTAAACCTTTACATCACCATGCCAAAGATGACTAAGGGAAGAATGTACATTTAATTTAAGCAGAAACTTATCACTACAAACAAAATCTGGACTGGAACACATGACAGAGAAAACAACAAGCCTATTAAAGTAAATGATCTACAAACAGGGAAAGGCATGCTTCTGCAAGAATCATTTTTATAGATAAATGAAAATGAAATGAATAATGCTTGCAAAAAATAAAAAAATACTCATCCTATTTGTTATAAGACATGAAACAGTACCAACACTGCTGAAATACAAATCTTATTTGCCCCTTTTAAGTCAGTAATTCAACACCAAAGAGGTAAAACAGTACATCTTAGTCATAAAATGTTCTGGTGCTTTTCATTTCCATATACATCAGGTGATTCTGTCATTCAAAGTCTAAGAGAGAAACATAACCGTAGACTCTGTTTATTTATTTATTTTATAATTTTTGTGACACCTTCCTAAAGGTGTCAGCACAGTTGGGTGGTAACGAAATGCAGAAGTACCCCACCTCGGTCATGGAACCAACATCGCATAACAGAGGAAAACCGTTCTCTAGGAACAGAACTGTTCCGAGAGGTTCCACAGTTACCCAAGAGGTGTTAGTGAAGGCGTGCCCACGGCTAATGGCAACAAGCACCGTCGACTGCCTCCTACCTCGTCGGTCATCTCACGGCCAGAGTCGGAGCGCGGCCGCTGGGGTCCTGGTGCCTGGCCCTCACTGGGTGCTGAACTCTGTCCGTCCGCCGCTTTGCCGCTCTCCTACGACACGCACAGACACAGCCTACGGTGAGCCTCCAGACGCTTCAATATAAAGCAAGTCAGCTGGAATGCCTGGGATGACCAGCAAATGTTCATAATCGCTGATCAGCTGGGCAAATACCCATAATGCACTGCAAAATCGTTACTAATGCGCATGCACCAATTCTCGCGGCATAAAATCCAGATATTTAAAGGGAAATTCACAGAGTAACAGTAAGGCACAGAGCAAGACTAAGGCATTGCTTTTACAATGTTCTTGCTGAAAGACATAGTCTCCACGTTGTACTTTTGTGGGTTATCAGCTTCAGGCAGGCAAATATGACTGATGATAAACAAAATTAAACTCTGACTGGGTCTCGCTCTGCTATGAGGGCTGGTTACCAACCTGGGCAGTGACCACCTTGTCCCCGCTGGTGGCACTGGCCAGGTCCAGCGAGTGCTGCAGGTCCTTGGTGATGAAGTCCACAGCAGTGTTGGGCGACACCAGGCCAAAGGACGCAGGCTGTTCTGAGGACACTGAAGGAGAACCAGCATGAGGAACGGAGAGCCGGCTAGGGTACAGACTTTTAAAATTGTCATATCGCTGTGCTGTTCACACTACACGATTTGTCGTCTTGTGATCGTCTTGTGAACGACACGACCGACCAACAACCAGGGCTCACACAGTGCAAGATCTTTCACCAGGAGGAATCGCTGACGAGTCTGTCTAGTCTCCAAACTTCTTTTGTCATGAAATCACACATGTGATCGACACTACGAATTGTTCCAACACTTTAATCAAATGACCAATATGCTTGACATTTACAAACGCACCACAAGCTAACCCTCACATACACAGAACTGTCAGGAAACAGTATCACATACCTTAGATCTTTAGTAACCCGGCATATAAAGCGTGCGCTTGTGTCTGTGCGTGCCTGTTTGTGTATACATCAAACTGAACTGTTTGCACCTTTCTAAACTCCTCCCTCTGGCTTCACCTCACCCTGTGTCTTGCTCTCTCATTGGCTCTGGCTCGTCGCCGTACTCAGTGCCACAGCCTCTACACTCTTCACACCTACAGGATTTGGAGTCGCCGATAGGTCCAGATATTTAACATGGTAGATAGTCGATGGGCGTCTACCATGCATCAGGAGGGGTTTTGTTTGCACTTTGGGGTCTAAACCTCCTTTTTCACTCCACGAGAAACGAATTAAACCAGAAAACGGTTAGAAGAAGGAGGTTCTCACCCCAACCACTCTACCTCAGAAGAGGGAGCAGCAGAGTCACACAAAAAGATTTCCATTTCATCACCCTGGTCTGTCGCTGTACCCTAAAGCACAGTTACTTAACCCAATTACTGTGCTTGGTTAACTGTCCAAGTAACACTGAAAATTCATCACAGCCAGAGAAGGCAGTCGCAGTTGTATTATATGTGTAACAACAAATGAAACTGTGCGCCAAAGGCCATCCTGCACAGGCCTCCCCAGTGATATCTGTGACACATATCTTATTACAGAGCATTATAAGTACATTTAAAAAGAGCGTAACACTGCTAAGTAACTACAGCTCATCTGAGCCTTAATTAACAGTCATAACACCTGTATGCATGTTAATGCCTGGGTTACACTGATCTCTAGACATGCTGATAATAGGGTTAAAATTCACCGGACGATACTTCCTACCGATGTCGGGCAAAGGCAGCGTTCCACAAAGCAGCGCTTCCGTTCTCTGCAGGGACCGCGGCCGTTAACATCTCATGCAGCGATTAACAATGTATCATATGGTGTCTTTTTTCTGTTTTTAAACCAAATAAACTTGTATTCATTTACTTACTTTTCAACTACTGGTATTTAGTCAGTTACAGTAATTATTTGTTTACATATTCAGTGACAGTTATTTTCATATTCATTTTCCACTTGAGATATTTTCCACCTACGACGGGTTCATCGGAACACGCCCCCATAGTTAGTCGAGGAGTGCCAGACCCCTCCCTCACCTTCCAGTGCTGATGGCCGCAGCGTCTCCTGAGTTTTTTTGCGAGGGGGGGGAGCAGGGCGGGATGGAGGAGGAGGACGTGGAGGGGGGGCCCCGCCGGGTGGGGGGGGTCGTATGGGCACCGGTTTCTTGGTGCTGGCCACGATGTCCGGCTCCACGATGAACTGCCGGGGGGGCTTGCTGGGGGCGAGGGGGTCCTGGTCAGCCAGCTTGGTGCTGTCAGATACCTGCTGCAGAATGTCCGCTGTGCTGGGAGGGTGGCCCGAGTCTGTGGTCGGATCGAGCTGCGGAGGTCGTGGTTCTTCTGGAACCAGGACACTAGTGACATCTGGCGGTGTGGCGGTCTGGGTTGCCTCGACTGACGAGCCAGACGCATCAAGGGCGCCATTGGTGGGGGCCGTCGTCCCAGCATCCTGCTCTCCATCATGGACCTCGACGGGAACCTCTGATATCTCAACTACAACTTGCGGTTCTACGGACGGATGCCCTGCATCAGTCTCCTGCTGACCCGTGTCCTCGTCCACGACCCCGCCCCCTCCTGGCCCCGCCCCTTGGGGCCCACCCCCCTCAGAAGCTTCTCTGTTGTCTGTTAGCAGCGAATTATCTGCGGTAGTGCTCTTCTTCTGGCTCTCCTCGATGATGCTGTCGATAATCTGGAAGCAGAAGGGAATTAAATACTCTTTGCAGGGGCCCCCCAACTATATTCCATCAGCAAACACAAAACCAAAGTCGACTTTCTGAAAAAGGGGAATGGAGGCACTCAAACCCTCAACCAATAGTTTGAGCGCCCTATGTGGACACCATTTCCCAGCTCAGTTTAATGAAAGGTCTGCAACATGATAAATCTGCAAATTTACTTGGGCTGCTACACTGCTGATGACAGGGTGTGGACGATATTTACAGAACGGCAGTTTAAAGTCATCATCCTTCTGACGGCCGACAGAAACCCCGGCGCGACTTTATCCTGGGCTGCTCTCCCAACAGGAAGGATCCCAGACACTGATGCAGGAGGCCAGCCAACGTTTGCGGCAGCGAGACAAAACAGGCGAGCACCCTCTCACACGCTCCCACCAACACGCGCGACCGACCGGCCGCCCGACTGGAAGGGGAAGGCCAGAGCAGAGGGCGGGGCCACGACGTTCCCTTGTGGCTGTATCTGATTGGATCCCTGCCAGGTTAAATCAACATCACATCGCTTTGCTTTTATTAAGGTAATTCTTCAAAAGTATAACGGCTGTGCCAGATATAAGAGGGCGAAGAACGGGAGATCAGATGACCAGAGAACGAGATTTGAAGGAGCTTGGGGTGGAGGTTAAGAGCAGGGTCATGGGAAACGGACACACCTGGATGGAGTCCTTAGGCTGGGCTGCATCACGTACTGCGAGGTCACCAGTCTCCTGCAGTGGGACAGGCACAAAAGACAACAGCCTGCCTGTAGTTATTCTCACAGACCGCTAATCACTGCAACTCACCATTACAATGCTGTAATCCTGCTTAGTCTGGCTTTAACGTTCGACCTGATTCAAACAGCATCTCGAATCCCCCATCTGTCTGAAGGCCCAGTGCCATTCAGCAGAAACGAGATAAACACGCATTTGGATGAAAAGACGACTACCTCCTATCTGCTGCGCTCCTAGCCATTGTGATTCTCCATGTGAGGGGGGGTGGAGGAGCCCTTGTCTGCCATGATGCTGTTCTAATATCATAGAGAGCAGAGCTTATAAATACACTCTGAAGCCAGGCTCTGATGTCACAGCGCGTTTTTTGTACCAGGAGAGGCAGGCAAGGGAACAATGGACGACGGAACCCTGGATGAGAGCCTCGTCTAAAGCTGGAAGCTCCTGGGCTTCAGCTTCGAGCCGCTCTCCTCCACAACACCCCCACGATATCACTACACTACTGCAAAATGGCTGCCAGATCAGAGAAAAAAAGAAACAGGAACAGTGGCGATCTTCCCATGTCTTAGAACAGACTTGAATTTCATTTCTTTAAGACCACTGCGCAGGCCTCTCTCCATCCACTGCGATTAAAGGGTTTTAGGAATCACGCACTGCATTTCCACCCGAGTACAGTGCATTATCATAACATGCAAAGGAAATAAATTCCTTTATTTCAAATAATTCCCATTGTGACTTCATTTTACTAGCTAGATACTCACAAAGCAGAACAGATTCATGGCTATCATGCGTGTTCATGAAGGGGTCTCTGTCCTCACAGAACAAGTACTGTAGCATTTCTCTACTGCAGCACCCTGAGCTTTGACTGGTAGGTAAATATTGACGCCGGCCGCCACACGTCTACTTGATCAGTGAAACTTATCTCAAGGAGTCACTTACAAATAAGTGGAAACTTTTTTTTTTTTTTTTTCCCTTCTGTCGTCTGTTTAAAGAGGGTTCCATTCACTGGCTGCGGATGCCCTCACGGACACACCAGTTCTTAATTTACGGAGTACCATGAGAACGGAATCTCAAGACATAATTACAGCCAGCTGAAGCAACAGCTGTTACCTTCACGTTTTCTCTGGAATCCCATTAGACGAAAAACACAAAAAAAAAAAACAGCTGCTCATTCCCGCTTCTGGTGATCTACCATCCGGCAGAGTTCAGGTGCAGCCCTAATTTAACACACCTGATAGAGATAATCATCTATGTTAGCATAGGTGGATCCAGTATAAAGATACTACTGAAAGATTGAATTATCTGTATAAAAATTAGGGGGCCCCTAAGATCTGCAGGGTGGTAGCTCTCCAGGAGCAGGAATGAGCAGCCCAGGAACAGCATCAGATCTGAGGAGTAGCATATCTTGGAGAAGCAACAAGCTGCTACGATTCACCGCCAGCTGCACTAGTTTACATCAGTAATGAGGCTGACATTAATTACATTCAGAGAGGCAATATTACGGGGCATGCATACTCGAGTTGCATAATAATGCCCGAAAATAAATAAAGACCTCTCTCACGGAGATGGAAACCCTGACCAGTACCAAAATGTTCCAAAGGACTTTGAGTGAGTTTCAGTCCACTCTGGGGGGAACCTGTATCAAGTAATAGGGGTCCTTGCAAGAGAGACACTCCCTTGAATCAAGGTCAAACTATGGGCGAGTTACAAAGGCCCTAGTGAGTCAGCATCTCAAGTCAACATGATCACCTACAGCGTCTGCCAAAACAATGCCTACATTATGGAAATGTTAGTAAACTTAGCAAACTAACAGCAAATAGGCCTTCAAATAGGCAGCGAAAGCCACTTTTGAACATAGAGGAAGTTGAACTGGACTTCAAAAGGAACAGTTCCTGTAGAGGGAAAACGCAACATCTTGGCTTTGTGTGAAGCCCAGCTAAAGAGAAACATTCTGGTCTCACATCTCATTGCGCAGTCCCTTAGCGGTTACCAAAGTAATTATCTGGGTATTGAATCGCCCTGCGTAGTGTTTGATACAAAACCTTTGAAATGTGATCTAAAATCTCCAGGATTTCAATCTCTGAGGGTTTGTAGGTGGGAAATCTACCTTGACAATGCTATTAGAGTTCATGGTATGTAAATGTCAAGGTCAAGACTATGATCAGGAAATACAGAGTCATGACCTTCTGAAATCACTGCAGACAAATTTTAACAGGTTTGCTAAGGATGATCTACCCCCTGTATGTGTGAAATGTCACTGTGTGCCATGTTTTCTAATTGAACACCGATGCTATTCTGTTCATGGTATGAATGTAGATTTTGCCCTTGAATCACTTTCATAAACACCAAGAAACTGTGAGCTGATTTTAATAAATAAATAAAAATGCAAATAAAATGTTCAAAGAACTTTTGTGTTTAATTGTGTCTGCTAAAAAGCATAACATACTTCCAGCACATACCTTTTTTTCAAGTAAGGCAAATTTTTCAGGTGACCTGAGAAAGAAAAAAAACAAACTGGAAATTACTTAACATGTCTACATAAGGAACATATGAGATGTGACAGTGACTGAGAGTTTCAAGGGGAACTGAATCAAAAAAGGGTGAACATGTGATGATCCGACTGAAAGATGATTTGGGATACTTCCGAAAGACGTTGACTTAATGAAGCAGGCAACACAAATTCACGTTTGAAACGAATCAGGTAAGCTGAAAATACGCATCTGCTTATGTATGTGGCATCCAGATTTTCAGATCAAGGTCTGTCCCACGTGTTAAAGAAACATCTTACTCAAATGATGAAGAAGGAACTGAGGCTGAGACTTGGTATTTACTGAAGTACGCAACTGCCCTCATAATTTGAGTCAGTTGTATGTACAACCGAAACAGTCACTGGCCATCTGTCACAATCAGGACCGAGTTCACAGCTTTCAGGTACTAAATGCTGTGGATCCCGTTAATATGACACATGTAGTAGACCGACCTGGGATTGAGAAGGCTATAAGGCCACAGCAATTCTATAAATAATTAAAAAATCAAACATATAAAGACTGTCTTCATAATGAAAACAACTAGAATATTTACCAGGCTAGTGGCAAAACCTGTGCTTAAATATTTGAGTAAGGCGGCAATCAAAATTCCTTCTTAAAGCAACAACTAGTTAGAGATTAGGTGCTGAGCTTTGTCACTACTGATTTTATCATGTGCCTGTCATGACTGATGATCCATGAGAGCCAGCCGATCCTACTGAACAGCTGCGATGCGTGATCGAATACCTGCAAACGTGTCACGCTAACAAAGTTAGCTATTTAATACAATTATTTCCAACTGCAAAACCGTCATACGAAGGTATCTTTAAAAATAAGAATGCAGTCCATCACCGTATGGAATCTGTTTGGGGGCAGGTTGTCAAAATCTTTTGCGAGATCAATTTGATGGTCACGAGTGATCTTTACGCAAAACATCTATGTAAAATGCTGATTCGTTCCTGCCAAATCATAAGGGGAAAAAAGAAGTTATGTGGGCAACACGTCGCAGTTTATTTTTTCGCAAACATTGAAAAAAATTCTTACGCTTTCTTTTTATTTTCCAGGACGTTCAACTACATGAATTTCAACAATGTGAGAGTAGTAAAGCATACAAGTCTGGACACAGTGCAAGCTAGCTAACAGCTTCGCAAGTAAATGTCAGTTACTCCAGCAGACTACATCAACGCCCATATTATGCTAACAAGTTTCACACTTCCTGCCGACTGCGCGCACAGTCCATCGGACAGAGAAAAATAAGAGCTAATAACTTACACGTTTGGAGAAGGGCTCAGACTGACATCTTCGGCCGCGTCGTAAAATTCTTCTGTGTCACTAGTGTCAGACGCCATTTAGCTATAACGCTCATATAAACGCCCCAGCAATCGAACACGTAGAGCTGGATTCCTCTTTCGATCGAGGCTGGGCTTGCTTCTGGAGATACACTGGCGACTATCTGTGCAAAGGTGTTGCCGGGAAACAACACACAGTAAGTTAGAAAACATACACACTCGAAGATGTTGCTGCCTCTGCCTACAAATGAGGAGAGGCCTCGGCAGTCAATGAAAACGCAATCCAGCTGACAACTAACTTAGCGAGCAACTATCTGGCTGCCTAAACGTAAACGATAAAGGACAGCTCGAGTTGGTGAAGTTCCCCTACGTGACTAGATCAGTCAACGATATTCAGACTCCTCGGCACCCGTTTCACCGGCAACTCGGAAATAAACATTTAACGCTGGGACACGAGAAGCAGTTATAATATTTTGACAGGATCAGAGCAGGATGATCAGCCAATCTCCCACCTTATTTTTTCCTACGAAGAAGCAAATCACGCCCGATAATCTCGCGAGGTTTAAAGCGAAGTTGAACCAGGAAGAGCATGTCGCGTTATCAGTTAAAACGATGTTCCGTCGCACGCGACGTGATTTGTGTCTCGGTTTGGACACCTTTATTATTCAATACGCAAAAGCTATACAGATATTAAATATTTTAATGACATTAAGATTTTGGATGGTGAAGATAGTGATTATTTTAAAATAATCGCTATTTGTAAAGGCTAAAGTAAATCCCCTTACACAAGCTGGACAATACTAGATTTATTACAAAATGAAATTAAAATACAAAAACAAAAACATTTTTACACTAATATGTAATCTAATCAATACAATTAAATATTTTAGAAATATTTAAACTGCCCCCTTTTTAATTTTTACATAAATGTTAATTTTACATTATTCAAAGATGTCATGGGTTTGGATGAAGCGTGAAGCCTGTTGTTTTTTGCTAATTATTTAATTAATAATTTCTAAAATAATAGTTGCAACGATTTCTTATATCGATATATATAAAAGTTGTTTTATTTGTACTGTATAAGGCTGGGAAGCAGCACAATAGTTGTCTATTATTTGTATTCATGAAACAATAACATAATGGAAAACATTGTCCTATCATTTTTGGCCACGGGGGGTGCTGTTTACCGTGGACTATTTTTCGGCAGGTTGCAAGTAATTTTCAATATTTCGATCAATACTAGCTTTATGCATCATGATGTCAAACCCTAAAATCATTTGGCTAAATATTTTATTCTAGTTTATCAAAACACGAAAAAATGAATCTGCAGAATGTACCTTTTTATTTGAATACACATTTAACATTTATTTTAAACAGTATATGTGTGAAGTATCTTATATAAAGTTATTGCCATGAAACGGCAGTGAAAACCTTTGAGCTTTAGTTATTCCGTCTGATGAGGTCCTTCTCAAATTTGTCATTTTTTATTAAGTTAATGAATAAATTATACACTCATTGGCTAATTTATTAGGTGCACATGCTTGCTATCTTTTCATTTCAGAATATTTCCAAACTTTTATATTTTAATATAGAAATCTTATTTAATTATGTGCATGCTTTTGCATGCTTAGTTTGATAACACCAATCACTCATAACTTTAAGTGGATTTTACTCCTCTGTTGTCTAGTGCTCTGCTAAAAAAAACTACATTGCAATAAAAGTTATCACTTTGGCCTCATTCTACACTCTGAAGGCTGTGGGTGTGATTCCTACTCTGCGTGTAGTTCTTGCATATTCCCCTTGTAGTCATGTGGGTTATATGAATATTTTTGTGTCTGAACTGTGCCTGTTGACACTGATATGCTCTAACACAGAGAGAGTGAAAGGTTCCATTTACTATCAGAGTCTTGAGAAAATAAGGCTTTGTCCTTTGTGGGATTTAAAATTGAATGAGCAGCGAAAAAGAGTCATACTGTAGCAGATGTTAATCTCCTGATAAATAGCCAGACCAGCTGGCAGTATTGAGATACTGTTTCCAATTTAAATAGCAGGCTTCTTGTGCTGTAATTTTGTTTACAAATGTCCATGAATGTGAAGTTGATTCTTAGCAAGCCAGTCTCTTGGTTGTTCAGAATTGTTTTTTTTCTCACATCATTTTCGTATTGCTTTCTTGGCTCCTGACTGAATCACCAACATATTATGCAGTCATGGCCATTTCTCATTTGTACCTTTAAACTACTGACCTGAATTGAACTACTTTCTAGCTGTTTTATTTAGTTGTCTCAATTTCTGAATCCGTTTTGTCGCTATAAAATAAGCTACTTGGCCCTACTGTGTGTACAATCCCTAGCCAGCCCTTGTTCATTTATGCGGCATGTCAAACATCCACTAGAACAAAACACAGCAGAGAAATTAACTGCCTTTTCAGGAAACCCTGAGGACAATGAGCTAATGAAGGGCCCAACCTCTTTTCAGCTGCTAGTTATCACTTTACTTAAAAACTTCCAAAACTGCTTTTCAAGTTTAAATTTATCCCTTAATCATATCTGTGGAGATAGTGTTTGTGTAAATAACAGCTAAAGCAACCTACCACATCATTGGCTGCTTCTGAGAAGTATTTTAAGCTTTTTGGGGGAGGATTTCATAATTGTGATACACTGAACTCAATGTTCAATGGTAAACTATCCACCTTACCCACATACATTTTGTAAGTAAAGTGGTATGTACCAATTAAAAATGTTTTTCTATCTATTGCCTTTCAACAGTGTATCCTGGTCAGGATCACAGGGGGCTCTGAGGCATATCTGTCAGCAGAAGTCACAAAGCTGTTTTATTTCAATTTTCCAAAGCAGCATACAAGTGAGGAAAGCTTTAAGACAGAAAGCAAGGTGGGTGAGCCAGTATCCCCGGTGCATTTTGGGGTTATAAGCCCTGTTCAAGAGCAATATGAATGACTCTGCCAGCCACAGGATTCAAAGCCACATCATATGGACTCTGAATCTTTAACCTGATCACATCACCACAGACTGGTCTTATATGCTATTTTGTTTGAGTTTTAGAAACGCCTTGGAAAGGTTAACTGGAATCTTCCACGTAATTCTACCAGTCTCACTAAAAATGGGAGTGCATCAAAGCACATTCACATACAAGGCCATTCTATTCTCCTAATTAGGTTTACCCCAAAACAATTAGAACATTTTAAAAAGCATTATTGCTTTCTGCATTATTTCATAGCATCAACCGTATATAACAGGTAGATATTTAAAAATACCCAATATAAAGGCGTTCAAATCGAAGACGTCCCGCCGCGTGTTAAAAGCCCTGTCAGCTAGGCGTTCCTCGGCGTTCACGCCGCGCGCACGCGCATCACAATCCGCCGAACGGAAATCCCGGCTGGATCCGCTTGACAGACACCTGACTTCGCCACTGACCGGAACACCTTCCAGAGATTCGCTCCCGAATAGCCAATGAAAAGCGGGCAGTAGGAGGCGGGGCTTGTTGCGGTTCAGTAGTGGAGTGGTGGGAAGCGGGGAGGAAAATTAAGAGCGACTGACAGTGGCAGGTAGGATGATGTTTTCTTTTTTATAAAGCATTTTAAAGTGGCTTCCTTTGGTTTAAAATAGCCGTGAGCCTGTGTGAATGCCACATGCAAGCTAATATTATATTAGGACAATAAGAACGCGACGCATGCGGCTGTTTGTGTATGTGAGGTAAGCGCTGCCGTTTCAACAAATTGGCTGTCCTGGGTAAGTTGATGCCGTTTGACACGCTGTTTTGGCAAGCGGTCCCGCGGAGCCAGCCGGCTCTCTAGCTAATTAGCTAGTCAAATTGGAACGTTATTGTGGGAGACACGGTGATTCGGAGGATTTTTTTCCTCCGCTTTAGTGTCACGGCCTACTAATTACCATGTTGCTTTGATGAGCGTAGATATGTCAAGGAAGGGTCTTGCCTAACTTTTTAAAGAAGTTGCAGTAGTCGACATAGCGGGGAGACCTCGCTGGCCGGGTGTCTCCTTGGCGGCTCGAGATATTGGGGGCTGGCCAGCAGCGTGTTGCATTTCAGAAATTCGGTTTTGGAGAGTCGTTCGCCCGAGCTGTCAGCGTCAAACGAGCCCCTCGCAGCCGATAGCTGGCCGCTCGGCTGTCCTCCCTGCGCCATGCGCTCACCTTTTGTTTATAGTTTTCTAAGCGCAACTTGAGAGGGGCAGCAGGCCGGCTGGATGTCCACGCCGCGACCTTCCCCTCGTTTTTGGTCGTGTTCCGATTCGCAGAGATTCCGCTCAGAAAGGAAATCCGGAGTAGGGTTTTAATTTCCAAGTCTGCCCAGCGCTGTCCTAATAATAGCCGGTCGCATCATAGCGGTGTGTCCGATGCCGCTGCGAAGAGGCAGCCGTACGCCCTAACCGGAGGGACCCCCTCTGTCGCTCCCGCACCAGTAAATAGCCCGATAGACTTGACGCTGTTGCCAGATCTCTGCAGTATGTTGTTTCGATTCCACTGATAAATGAAACTGTCTACATAATACAACAGCTTAAAGTATGTAGATTGCTCACCCCTTTTGAAAGGTTAAATCTTTTTGAAGCTTTTAAGATTTTAGGTCCCATATGAAGTGGGTGACTGAATCAGATACGATTATTTGTATAGCAGTTGGTGTAGTGATTACTTTATGTAGCCTCAATTTTGTCTGTTAAATTCTCAAGCGAGTCGGTGCTGTCCTACCATCGAGTAACATACATAACGTTCTACATATAGGCATGGTTTTCTATAAATAAGCAGCATGTAAGTAGTTATGTAACTTTGGGACGGTGTTTGAAATAAGACTCCTCCCAGGCATATGGTCTTTTTAGGTTAATCTAGCCAAGGTCATATTTGTGAAATAGATGACAAAAAGATCACCGAAAAGGTTGGCGAACAGTGATAGGCTTTATCGCATGGTAATTCCTGGGAGGGCAGAACCTTCTGTTTAAGCAGGTCTGCTAGGTGCATTTCTCAGCTGCTGCCTGTGCATGAGTATGAACCGCATTTAAGCCCATATCTGGAAGGTCATTGGTTTGCAGGGTTGCCAGGTCCTGGTAAAATGTACAGTTCAAATGCTTCCCAAAGCCCAAAACTTGTACCTGGTACAACATGCTGTATCTTCCCGAATTGCTGGCACTATTGGTAAAAATAACCCGAAAAGCTTTGTCGTGAAATCAACCTTACCTTTGCAATGAAAACAGCATTGAGTCTTCTCTGATAATGCTTTATGAAATGGAAGATCACTTTTGAAGGCATCTGAGACCATTCCTCCATAAAGAATCTCTTCACATCCTTCTGAGACCTTGAACCTTGCTTGTAGACTCCTCTCTTTCGCATACCCACAATTTTTTAATGGGGACTCGGTAGGCCACTGCCAAAGTTTGATTCTGTGGTCAGTGAACTGTTTGTGAATATACTGTATGAATTGGATCATCTTCATGAGTATTTTTAAGGGTGCCAATAATTATGACATGCATTCTGAGGGAAAATGTGTATGTGTGTGTGTATGTAATTTAATTTACCTCATTGAAAGATTATATTTCTCTCATTTGTATCCTCAGATTATTGAAAAATTGACATTTTTTTTCATGTCCTTTTTGGTAATTTCTTCCAAATTTGGAGGCATTTGTGTCTACTTGAATCATTTTGAAGATCTAGAAGTTTAAATGTTTTTTAAAAAAAAAAAAAAAAAACTTGTGCAAAATAAAGAAAACACACAAAAAAAAACATGACCCTGTTTCTAGACTAGTCCAATTTGGCGTAAAAACCATAAACCTGGCAACCCTGCTGGTTCAGATCCCCAAGAGGGGAGACTGGAACGATGGTACCCTTGAGCACAGTAACCTAAATTGCTCCGGTAAAAATATCCATCTCTGTAACTGCTAAAATTGATGGTCCCCCATGTAAAAACATCAGCCAAGTGACAAAGATCTAATATTAAATAAATTGATGTTCTTAGGAAGCTTAACAAACGTGAAAACAGGAACTAGAATGCAGTTTTTTACTTTTCTACTAGTGTTCACTAAAACCTCACAACTACAATAGATCTCCATTGAGTAAAAAAATGTTGAAATATTCTTGTGCTGTCTCTGGTTTCATTTGGAGCTTTTGTGGTTTCTCACTTGTTATTGCTTGGGGAACAGTAGTCGGCAGGCTGGAAGGGAGTGCCCCCCCCCCCCCTTGTGAATAGATAACGGTGCTACATAGCTTTCCATTTGCTTCGTTTCCAAGGCCTCTGTTTGACAGAATACGGTTCTCGTGACAACTGTGCAGTGGTCTTCCTGTACCTTACCAGTAGTCGTAGTAGTCTTTATAGTCCTGCTGTCTGGTCTGCATATTTTCGGTGTTATAAGTAGACCAAGAAATATGCATGAGGTGTCACCATCCTTAAACACTTTTGCAAAACGCAAGTAATCAGTGATGAATATGCATTGAAGTAACTGGGTGTTCCCTGTCTCATAGAGCCTTGTCTATTGTTTTGTTTTTTTTGGTATTTATTTTTGAGGGCTTTTTCAGAAAGTTTTATAACGTGTAACAAAGCTGGCCATTTCCAGAGGTATGCATTTTGTGCAACATCTCCGAAATACTGTCTGCAAAATGTAATCAGGCATTAAAGTTTTTCGTTTTTTTTTTCCCCCTCATCCTCCACTTGGATACCTAAATGAGTTTATTCCTCATTGATGAATATTGGCCGCCCAACACCTCCCCTCCTCACGCCCCTCTCAGTGGGTGCTCACCACGGCTGACTGTGTACCACCTCACAAGCCTTGCTTTGAAGATGCTCTGACCCAGTCATCTGGCCATAATGATTTGGCACTTGTCAGAGTCACTCACATATTCATCCCTGTCCATTTCTTCTGCTTTCAGCCTGTCGACTATGAGTACTGAATTTTAGGTTATTGTCTAATATCCTAGACACCTCGACATGCTCCGATAGTCAGCATTATTCACATCACGTAGGGGTTGGTCATAATGTTTTGGCTTATCTATCTGTGTGTGTGTGTGTGTGTGTGTGTGTGTGTGTGTGTGTGTACATGTATGGAAGGAACACAGAAAATGTTGACAAATTTTACATTTGTCAATAACTCTGTTTATGAGCCCAGTTCTTTGTTGCCATACTCACTTTCTGCCTAATCCTTGAAGTGCAAATCTGTAAATGCATGCTTGCTAGATCCCTATGTTTCTGGGTTCCATTCTGGCACAGGTGTTTTTTGCAGCATGAAAGGAGAATGCAATGGAGACTTGGCTCTGATCATTGTTTTGTCGTTTGCGTACAGTAGGTGTATATGTGACTATATAAACCTGAATCTATCAAGCCAAGTCACTTTGTGGTCATTTCACAAACATGAAACGAAATTTACTTTCTGAAGAGCATCAGATGGCTAGAACAAAGGCCAGTTGAACAATAAACGCTGAATAATAAATTCTGGATATAAAAAACACACAACAGTACACAATAATTATTCTGTGCATATGTATTTGTTATAGGTATATAAACCAGACAATGTGCCAATTGTGTAAGCTGGTCACCTTGAGTAGCCCAGTCTTGTGGTGAGAGTTTATCATTTCAGTACTACTGAGGGCCATTAGGTGTTAAAAAATTTAGCACTAACATCTGGCACTCACTGCATCATTACGTCCATTTCTGCAAGCAACGAGCAACTTCTCAGTACTCTCTTGGTAACAAAATCACTGATGTTCTGTCGATCTTCACCAAATCCGCTGCACTTGATGTAACCGTTTCTTGATGGTTTTTCTGCAGCCTAGCGTGACTTCAGTTTGGTGCCTTGCTGCTGTGTGGCACAGCACACTGATGTGAATAAAAACATGCCTATATCAAAGTAGCAGCAGTGTCACGTACAATAAATGCCATAAAGCTTTAGCCGCTGAGTCCGGTAATGCATCAGATTTAATGAGCTGTCCTGTTGTGTGCAGAATTAATTTCTGTCCCCACGACCGTCGTCCGTCATCTGGTCCTCAAACTGCTGGTATTTCCCTTTTGATCATCCCTGCTTCTCTCCGTCTTCTGTAAACACGGTCAATACAGTGTAGGGTCATTGTGAGCTTTGAGCCTTTATCAGGAAGGACAGAACTTGATATTGGAGATGGACCCAAAGCCCATCCCTGGCATCGTAGAGTAAAACCTCAGGGAATGCCTGAAATGGGATGCTGGTGCCTCACAGGTCACACACGCCTACAGACGGTTATGAACAAGTGTCTTCCATACTGTGCATGATATTTGCTGACATTTAACTCCAGGTGGCGCTGTGCTCACATGGGAAAATACCTAGGGGAGTTAGGGTTAAATATACTGCTCTTGTCAGTTCAAGGGTGCAGCTGAACAGAGCTCACACAGGATCCAGTGAGCGACCTCAACGCCAGCGTCTGCAGAATGCAACAGAGTTGTGGGACTTCGCTTGTGACAATCCTGTTAAGCGATGACAGATTCGCCAGCATGGTGGGGATTTGCTGTAATCGGCAGCTGAAACGCGTCAAAGCTGCGGCTGGTCTTCCACTCCCGGCAGGATTTGGGTGGGACCTGAGGCGTGTGTTCTCAGGGTGTATTATCCATGGTGGCTGACCATGAGAACAGCATCACAGGTCGCTTTAGCTTACCGCTGCAGCCCGAGGCCAGACTGGAAGTGCTGTTAGGTGTGGTCCCCGAGTCACACAGACTGATTCACTTAGTAATA